TCACACACCGAGCGTGTTATCACACACCGTTACTCAGTATCCTCATGCCGCAGAGCTCGGTTTACCCGTCATCACGGTCTCCTGGCGGTGCGTCACAACCTGAGATGTCCTCTGCTCCGTGACACTGAAACCCAGGTTCTGGAAAACTCCCTGGCTCTCGGCCCACGACTCCTGAAAACTCTTCAGCAGTTCCTCGGTGGAGGCCTCGGGGGGCACGGCCACCGTCGGAACTTTGCCCCTCACTACGTCGGCGTAGGACGGGGGGTTGCCGCGGGTCACAGAGCTCCCAGAGTGCATCTCGCTACTCATCTCCGTCGACATGATCCCGGCGTCATCGATGCTGCAGAATTGATCGGTGACCAATGTGGTTTCAGAGTGACCGAGCGACTCGGGAAAGGTCGACTCGGGTTCTCTTCTCTCAATTTGCTCTCTCAGCTCTCGGGCCGCCTGAGAACTGTGCTCTCCGGTCTCAAACACATTCTTTATGGCTTTAACGTTGAATGTTGGGATTTCCTCAGTTCTTGGCGTGTGTGGCTCAGCATCCGCGTCCTCCGTGTCACTCCCCAGCCTCTCTGTGATCACGATAGGTTCCTTTCTGGCGTAGACTTTTGGTTGTGGAGATTCAAACCTGTTCACCAGCTTAGACAAGTCAACTCTCGGGAGATCCTCTTTCAGGAGATCTATAATCACGGCCTCTGCGCTCTCCTCTGCCTCAGGCCCCAGACGTTCTGGGATATCGATGGGATCCTTTCGCATGTACATCCTGTTCACCTCCGCCCTCTGCGCATCCTCAAAGAACGACTTCTTGTCCCTGACCGTCGTCATTGAATCCCCCATTTCTCCGACATCCACCTCCCCCTGCTCACCTCTCTCCACGGGGGTCTCCCTGTCGCCAAAGGGGGACGACTGCTCTCTGTCGGCGGCGAAACACTCGAGGGTCATCACATGAGGCGGGGGGGCGACGTCGCGGGAGAGCTTGGAGGTGGTGTCCCGCAGCTTCATGAGCTTCTCAGAGCGGCTCAGGGTGGGGGACGGCGTGGCCCGGCTCAAGGCGGAAGTGGGCGTGAACGACCTGCGAGGGGGAGGCGGAGGCGTCCCGATGGATTTGTAGGGCGGAGGAGAGGGTGTCACTCTAAGCGGAGAGTCCACCCTCCTGGATTCAATGCTAATGAAAGTGGGGGACGGAGTGCGGATGCTTGCTAACGGAGACGACACCCGGTGATCACTCAGCTCCTGCTGCACTTTGCTCTCTTGAACTGACTTTCTCTCCTCCACCACCTTCTTTTCAGTTTTGGACAAACTGATCTTTGACATCTTTGCTGTCGCTGCACTGAAAACTCTTTTGTCTGGTTTTGGAAGCATCAGCGGCGGTGCTGGCGATGCTTGAGGTGTAGACGGTGCCGGCGGCGGCACAGGTGGTTCCTCTTTCTCCTCTTTTTCCTGCTTTTCCACGGCTGTTTTCTCCTCATAAAACGTGAGCTTTGTTTGAACAATGTTTTTCACATAAACCATCATCTCTTTCAACTTTTTCTTACTCTGCTGTTTTGCGATTTCACTTAAATTCTTCTTCTCCTCCGGACTTATCAGCCACTCGGTGAGCTCGCCTATAACCGTCCTGACAGCCTTGGAGTCTATTTTGCTTGGTGTGCCCTCCAACTCTTTTATTTGAACGAGCAGCTTCCGCATGACATTACATTTCTCTAAATCTGTGATTTCTTGAGCATCGTCTTTATGACACATTTTTCCAGCCCCTTTCACCAACACATATTTCGGCTCACCTTTTGAAATCCCTACTTTTATCTTATTTGTCTCCGTGGCTCGTTGCTGCGTCTGAACGAGGCTCTCTGTCAACACCACCTCCTCGTGTCTGTGCACGCGCTCCTCCTTCATGCTCTGCTGACTGTGGGAGACGGACACGTGGCCTTGTCCTTGATGAGCTGCTCCAGATGTTATCTTTGTCATCTTAGGCACTGAAACAGTAACAGATGGGGACAGCTTCACCTCCGTCTCATTTTTGTGTGTCTGCTTTCCCTTCTTCACCTCCACTTCAACCTCTTTTGCAGGTGGGGTCACCATCTTAATCTCCGTTTCTGACGTCAGCTGTTTGTTTTCCTGCTTCACTTTTGTCTCAGTTCTCTGAGAGACAACATGTTTTTCCTGCTGTAAATGCATCTCACTTTTTACTGCCTCCTTTTGTCCGTCGCTTTTCTCCTCTTTCCTCTCCATCGGCATCTTAAAGGTTTTCACCTTGAAACTCGGAGTAACCTTTGGGATTTTAGTGGGTAGAGAAGGACTCATTTTCCCATCCTGTGTCACAGGCACATTAATATTCTTCACATCTTTAGCTTTCAATGTCACCGCAGCCTGGCTTTGAAGATTTTCCTGGACAGCAGCGATTGACTGGGCGCTGAATTCCTGAACCGAAGAAGTCACATTTGAATACGACTTGACATTTGAGGCCTCATGATGAGACTGAGAGAGATGTCTGGACGCTGTTTGATTAGCAGCCTCAGCCGAGGCGAGTAGTATTTCTGAGGATTGCTCACTCGCGATGAGCTTTTTGTCAGAGGACACGTTTGAAAATCCAGCAGCTGATTTCTTGTTCGCCACTGAGATGGAGGGTTTGCTCAGAGGGATCTGTGAGGGGGTTTTCTTCACAGGTGTGTGTTCTTTTTTGAAAACTGTCTTGGCTTCTTCTGTCTGTTCTTTGCTCTCCTCCGTGGCCACAGACGGCTCAGCAGTGGCGGTGGAGGAGGGCATATTAATTGGCGGAGAAGTGGGGGTTGTGACTTTACTCTTCTCCCCATCCTCTTTCTCCATCATTTGCTGGCGAAATCTCTCCTCTGCCAGCATGAGGGGGGTTTTGAATTTGCGAGCGTAGGGTCGAGGCTTCTGGGCCGGAGCAGGGTCTGGAGGCGGGGGCAGTTTGATGGGAGGAACAAATGGTTTGCTTTCTTTTTTTACTGCTGGTTTCACAAGCGGGACGTTTGGTATTTTTGTCGCTGACACAGTTGTGGATTCAGACTGACTGTGTTTGCTTGTTTCGAACTTTTGTGTTGTTTCCTTTTTCACCTCCTGAACTTTCACTTCCACCTTGGCTGTTTCTTGATCGGGCGGCAGCTGAGGTGGAGGCGGAGCCGGCAACGGCTGCTTCTTCTGCCATTTGGGTTTGACTTGCACAGGCTGCTTCTGTGTTTCCGGGTGCTTGGGCACTTTGAATAAAGGCTTACTGATGATGGGTTTGCCCAGCTTACTGGGAGGAGGTGGCTGGGGCATCGCGTTGAGCTCTTGCTGTGAGGGAGGCGGTGGGAGGAAATCTTGGCCACTTGCAGATGGTGGAGGTGGAGGCGGCGGAGGAGGAGGGAGATAAAACTCAGTCTCAGACTTTGTGCATTCCACGGGAGGAGGAGGTGGCGGAGGTGGGAGGTCGCTGTCCTGCATGGGGATGGACACCAGGCTCTCCAGCACAGGCGACGGGGGCGGAGGGAGGGAGAGCTCAGACTCTGAGGGAGGAGGCGGTGACGAGGGAGGAGGGGGGAAGTGAATCTCTGGCTTTGTCTTTTTGATCACTTTCACATCAAGGTTGCAGCGATCGCTCTTCGTATTTTTAAATTTTCCCGTCACAGCTTTACCCTGTGATGTAGACATTTGCTCGGACACCTTCACATTTTGCTTCACAGTTTTCTCCGTCACTGTCGTCTGCACTTGTCTGATCGTCTTGGTTTCGCAAATTTGCTTGTTTGAAACGTTTGTCTGGGATGCAATTTTCATGTCTTTCGTCACATCAGCTGCCCTCGTCTCCGTTTGATCATTAGTTTGTTTATTCTTTATCACAATATGCTTGGACGGTTGCATTTTCTGAGCAGGCAGAGCTTTCTGCTTCTCTTCTTTTATGCTCTTGTGCTGAGAGGCCCCGGTGGTGTTGTCTGTTTTGGCTACAGTAACACAGAGGCCCTCTTGGGTTATTACCTGTGTTTTCACTGATTTGCTTTCGTCGTGCCGCTGCGTGTGCTTCTGTGACTCACTGCTCTGAGAGAGGTTTTTCACAGCGGGGGCTGGATTGACTGCTGCACTCTCACTCCTGGATTCATGCACACATTCATGCTCCCCTTGCTTCCCAGTTAATGGATTCTTCACGGGCACTTTTGCTTTCTTGGGAGAATGCGTACGTTTTGGTTTTGAATACTGTTTTCTCTGCATGAGACACTTAATCGCCCCTTGAACGTCGCCTTTCACCACCTCCTCTTTTTCCACCTGCATCGCCTCCTGTCCTTCATAGAGAGACTTTATGGATGTTTTCACGTCTCCCTCGGTGCTTCCCCGCCGATGCATTCTCGAGGACGCTGTCGGCTCAAGCAAAAGCTGAATCGTGGCTTTGACGTCACCCTGCTCGCTCACTTGATGCTGGTAAATCTTTTTCTCACTTGACGCCTCGTATAAGCTCTGCACGGCGGTGTGGATGTCTCCTTTCACTATCTCCTCCTTCTCCACTTCTTTTACCGCCTGCGTCGCCTCCTCCAGGGACTTCAGGGTCCCTTTAATATCACCTGGCACTAAATCGTCCAAGGTCACTTCCGTTTTAGTGCTCGCAGATTTCTCCAGCGAAACGAGAGCACCTCTAATGTCTCCCCTGACGATTTCCGGCTTTTCCATCTCTTTGGCTTGATGCTGGGCCTCCTCCAGTGACCTCAGCGTCGTCGGTATGTCTCCCTTCACCACCTCCTCTTTCTCTATCACCACTCTCTGATTGACAGCTTGTGTGAGTGAATCCAGAGCTGCGTTCAGGTCACCTTTAACAATATCCATCGTCTCCAGGTTTCTGAAGGTCACTGCCGGCTCCGTCATGAAGACTTGAACAATGCTGTGCACGTCCACGGGAACTATTTCATCCTCTGCCACTGTGCGGCCAATCTGCTGCTTATTCTTCTGCAGCAGGATTTTGGTCTCTACGATGTCACCTCCTATGATGTGCTCCTTTTCCGTCTTTTCCTGGATTTCGCCAGATTCGCTCTGGAGCTGTTTCAGGTAATCCAGCGCTCCGGACTCGATGCACGTGGAGTAAAAGCTGACGTTGCCCCTCTCTGTGTCTCCGACCTTTATCCTTTTAGAGTCTTCCCCCCCTGAGTTGGAAAGAAGGCGATGAAGCGTTCGGCTGACGTTCCCATGTACAATATCCTCTTTCTCCATGCTGGCCCTCTCGCCTTTATTCAAGAGGGAATAGATAGTCATCCTCACGTCGCCTTTCTCATCCTCCTGAATCAGAATGCCACGCTTGGAGGAGCCCTCGTTCTTTAGCAGATTGTTTATGGCCTCTTGAATGTCACCACGGATAATTTCCTCTCTTTCGACATTGATCCCACGTTCCTGGCAGAACAGCTGCTTCACCGTCGTGTCGATGTTCCCTCGCTCCTCCTCATCCACCGTTATCCCCCTCTCTGTGCCTTCCCTGCGGTTCAGGAGGTTCATCATTATGTGGCTTAGATCCCCTCTGATAATCTCCTCTTTTTGGATTTGTGGGGCTTCCTGATTCATGAGTTTGTACTTCGCCATGCGGACATCCCCGATCTCGTCGGCCTCGATGAGGATACCTTGTGAGTCCACCATTTTCTGACAGTAAAGCTCCTCCAGCGTCTCTTTGATGCTTTTGCCTAATATTTCTGTCTTTTCCACGCTGCCCTCGTTGAACTTGTGGAACGGCGTGGTCTCAAATAGCCAAGTTGTTGTCTTCACGTCACCTAGTAGGATTTCCTCCTTTGTTGCAGCGAGCTCGGTGCCGTCGGTCTCTTTGATGCTGTCGAGAGGCTGCTTCTCAAAGAGCCACACAGACTGTTTGACATCCCCTTTCATTACTTCCTCCTTTGTCACTCGCTCCATGCCATCGTACTCGACGCCTTCGTCGTGGATCTCATCAATCGTGCGGGTTTCAAACATCCACGTGGCAGATCTGACGTCGCCTTTTTGGATTTCGCTCACGCTGACGGTTCTGATGTACTTTTGAGACGTCTCGTCGGCCTCGAACCGCTGCTTGTTTGTCTTCACGTCGCCGCCTTGGATATCTGCAATTGTTTTTGACCTCACTTTTATTTCCTCTGTGATTTCATCCAGAGGTTGCGTTTCAAACTTCCATCTGGCGGAGCTGACGTCTCCTTTGTTGACGCCTTCCTCAGTCACAGCTTTGATAACATACACCTCCTCTGAATCTCTGATGGAATCCAGCGGCTTTGTTTCAAACAGCCACCGCGCCCCCACCACATCCCCTCTCATGATTTCCTCCTTGGTAACCGTAGTTACTTCATGATAATGGCCCTCCTTGTCTCGGATGGCGTACAGCGGCTGAGATTCAAACATCATGGTGTAGTTTTTTACATCCCCTCTTTCCATTTCATCCCTAAAGATACTTGTGAGTTTTGAAATATCCGTCTCAGAGGACTCCTCTTTGATTTGATCTAGAGAGTATGTCTCAAAAATGAAGCGGCCTTTGTCGACGTCTCCCCCCTGGACGTCAGTCACAGTGCGAGTCTCCCTCACCTCTGTGACGTCCTCGTGGATGGCGTCCATCGGCTGGTTCTCAAACATCCAGGTGCAGTTGACCACGTTGCCCTTCTGGATGTCCTCGGCCTGTTGCGTCTTCAGCCGGTGCATCGTCTCCTCCGAGGTGGAGCTCATGATGTCCGAGGAGCGATTCTCGAAGATGTACTTCATCCGGGAGACATCACCTGACTGGATGTCGATTTCCGTCACCCTCCTGAAAGAGCTGCTGTCCTCGCCCGTGAGGTTTTCCAGATTCTCCGTCTCAAAAAGGAAGCGTGCCAGTCGTACGTCTTTTCCTTGTACATCCTCTTGATTTACAGTGCAGGTTTTCAGAATGGTCTCTGTCTCGGTGTGATCACGTATGTTGTCAAGCGTCTGCGTCTCAAAGAGCCAAGTGCACGTTTTGACATCACCTCTCTGCACCACCTCGGCGCCCGCCTCGCTCTTCTCCGTCTTCTCGTACAGAACATCCATCGGCTGAGTCTCAAACAGCCACCTGCACGTCTTCACATCTCCTTTTTCTATTTCAACACCCTCCTTAGTTTTACATTCTTCGTCCTCGAAATTACACTTAATGGCGTCAAGCGGTTGAGTTTCAAACAACCACTTGGCAGTTTTTACATCCCCCGACTCCATCTCCTGTTTGGATATCCCTTTAATGATCTGAAACTTATTGATGCTGTCGTCGAACTCGTCAATGGGCCGCGTCTCAAACATCCACCTGCAGCTGCGTACGTCGCCTTTCACGATCTCCTCCCGTCTCACCGTCCTCACCTCGTGGTAATGACCTGAGCTGTCTTGCATTGCGTACATAGGCGTGGATTCAAAAAGAACTCGGTTGGATTTGACAGAACCACTCGTGACGCCTTCAACTTGAATTTTCTGCGTCCCTTCACACTTACTTAAATCCATACTTTCAAACCGTTCTTTGTAGTTTGTGACATCTCCCTTATCAAGAGCTTCGATGTTCACTGTTCTTGAAATCTCCTTCCTCTCCTCCCTTATGTTCTCCAGCGGCTGGCTCTCGAACACCCATGTTTGATGCCTCACGTCGCCTTTTTCTTCGTCTGACGCGACCGTTTTCTTAAGTTTTCCCACTTCAAGCAGCTCTTTCAGATTCTCCATGGGCACCGTTTCAAAGAGATGTTTTGCAGATTGAACGTCGCCCCCTACGATCTCCTCAGAGGGCAAAGGTTGAGCATTGGCATTGTCTTTCAATGTATCCATCGGCTGAGTCTCGAAGACCAGACAGTGTTTCCTCACATCCGCTCCGAGGATTTCCTCCTTTTGCTTTCTGGAAATCTCCCACTCTTCATCCTTAATGGTGTCGAGAGTCTTCGTCTCAAAAAGCCATCTGCCTTTATTCACGCTTCCTTCAGCGTTGTCCTCCATGGAAATGCCACAAATCAGCTTCACCTTTGCAGGGTCTTTGTTGATCATATCCAGGGGCTGAGTCTCAAACATCCAGCGGGACGTTTTCACATCTCCTTTCTCTGTCTCCTCCTTGCGGATGGTGGTGATCTCCAACATCTCTCCTGAATCCCCCCTGATCACGCACATGGGCTGGGTCTCAAACATGCGGGTGGTCGTCTTCACATCCCCTTTAATCTCTTCCAACTCCGACTTCAGGCTCAGGAAGTGGCTTTCCTCGATGGTTTCTGTTTTGCCAAGAGAAGCCAGATGCTGGGTCTCGAAGAGATACCTGGCGGTTTTCACATCTCCTCCTGTGATGTCCTTGGCTATGACAGCATCGGCCTCTTGCTCGTCCTCAACGTAGATCTTATTCAGGCAATCCAGCGGCTGAGTCTCAAAAAGCCACGTAGCAGTGCGGACATCACCTCTCGCGAGTTCTGAGGATTTCTCAGACTGCTCGGTTGAATTCTCGGTCTCTGTGCCGAGAGCATCCATGGGCTGAGTCTCAAACATCCAGGCTGTGTATCTGACGTCTTTGCCAGCGATGATTTCCTGCTGAGCGATGTTACTCACCTCATTCTCATCTGGGGTGTCATCTTTGATCGTATCCAGTGGCTTGTTTTCGAACATCCAGCGCATGGACTGTACTTCCCCTTTGAGGATCTCGTCCCAATCCACAGATTCCCTGTCGGGGCTCGAGCATTTACCCGAGCCGTTGCCATCATTCTCAAAATGATAGCACACCTGCTGGACATCTCCCACTACTTCTTCGCTTTCCAGGTCCTTCCTCTGTGCTTCGGTGAGCTGACTCAAGAAATCTGCTTCCAGGTTCTTGCGGAGCTCCGGATGGATGTGTTTATAGAGACGCTTCAGCTCTGCCATGCTTTTGTGTTTGAAATATTGCTCTTTACTAACAGTGTGCATTTGTTGGGAGGCTGAATCCTGAGGCTGGGAGGAGCTGGCGTACTCTGGCACGTCCTGCAGAAAGTTTGAGGGTGGGGGAGGGAAATGCTCGGTCACCTCATAAGATGCAGAAGACGCCGCAGAGGACGCGGTCTTTACAGTGGAGGATGTGTCATGGGTCGTCACTGCTGAAGCTCTGGAGGACTGATTCATCGGCGCCCAGTGAAAGTCCACGTCAACCTTTGGTGCATGAGTGTTTTTAGTTGAGGAAAGAAGGAAAGTGAGGTACAGTTAGAAAATCTGACATTTTTTCATATGTCGGTCATGAAAAGGACAAAGAGACTGATTCATGAATTTCAACTAAATAATATAATTATTTCCCCAAAGCACCAAATAACAAATCTAACGTGAACATAAAGCATAAATACAGATGCATCTGGAGTCAGATCTGGACATTTTCACTTGTGAAGGTTCCCGCAGTAATTACTGACTTGATTAAAATATTCATCGGAGATCACTTTCAGTCATGTGACTTTTTGTTTGAGTCTGGGGGTTTTTCCTTTTTAAAGTTTCACACTTGTGTAATGACATGAGGTCTTTTATCCGTTCCAATTTATTTTCCATCAACTGGTGGCACGCGCAATTTCCTTTTGATGATTTCATGATGGAGCCCCATATTCATACTGATACGTTATAAAAAACAAAATCCCAAACTATCGTATATTTAGATAAACAGACGGCATCATTACCTTAATTTCCTTGGCTGGTGCCGCTTCCTCAATGGTTTTTTCATACTGCTGCTTCAAAGCCTGAGTGGAAACCTTTGGTGGGTCCTCTCCTCCGACAAGCATAACTGAATTAGACACCAGAAGAAGGCTGCCTCATTAAGTCATTCGCAGTGAGGGAGCTCAGGGGGATTGGAAAGAGAAATAAATCATTTCATTAAAAACCTGAGTAGTTTTCATTTTCTGAAACCATGCAGCGGTGATTGCCCAATTTCCACTTTCCAATATTTTACCTTCCTGACTCTGCCCTGATTAGATTTGCGGCTATGCAATGAATAGGAAATCATGTGCACTCCCGACTCATTTTCATAGCTCATCCCTTATTCAGCCATGGTGGGAACAACCATTAATATACAGGACACAAGCAGCGCTCTGATAAAAAAAAAAAAGTGCAAATTACAATATAAAAGGCAGGAGCAGAATAACCTGTTTCATTGTAATGGTTCCCATAACTGCCGGCCACATTGTTATGGTGGATTCTTTGATCGTGGACCACCTGTGAAAAGGAAGCAGAAAATCATTAGTATAACAGCAATGTTGCTGCCTCTGCTTACCATTAAAAACATAGGGCAACATTTCTAGATAAAACGCAACATAAAGTCCTGAAATAACCAGTGGTGGGATGCAACACAGTGCATTAACTTCCAAACTGCATTTAAGTACATGCTTCATATGTCTGCACCTTACTTAAGCAGATTTATTTTAGTATTTGTCAAATGTGTTTTTTCATAATAATCGTCATGCACAGAAACTTTGCAAACTTTCTACAGAACAGGTTACACTCTGTACTCTTTACTCGTAATACTTTAAGTATATTCAAATGGAAATACTTATTTTCAAACAAGTACAAAAGTTAATGTGGTACCTCTTGATGACTTTGGAGAATTCCTGAGGTGGGGACGACTTCTCTGGAACTGCTTTTCACGATCACCTCGGAGGAGCTGGACACTTCCTGTCAAACATAAAACATTTTGTTTCAATTATTGATTTCACGTGCAGATTTTGCAACATTTCCTCAAAACCCTGATCTTAGGTTCAAACTGTTCGCTCTATTTTGCTTGAAAATTTCTTTTTTCTTGCCTGGTCAACATGAAGCGGCAAAATCAAGGATCTCAAATAATGAAAAACACCTTTTGTCAGCACCAATCTTGAATAAACAGGATAAAAAAAACATAGAATATGGAAAATCCTCCCAATGACAATATGACCTCATACAAACACCCTCATTCATGAATGCACAAAGAGCCGCTGTGTTTTTATGACCTTGTTATTGTGAGCTGTGAGAATCAGCTGCAGAGTAGGTAATTTCTTACACCGTGAAAAGGCTTCATAAAATCCCTGTGTGGCTGGTAAGAAATGCTTTTCCATTACTGAGCGGTTTCCTAGGGAACAACAAAGTTTCTGTTTTCGGACGTCAGCATTGGAGAGAAACTGCAACAGATTACAACAACTATATAAAACTGCATTTAGCCATTTCTTCCAGTGAGATTCATGCAATTTGACGGAGATGAAAGATATCGGAGCTTGTATCAGCAGCTGTTAACATGAAAGATACATGGAGGCTTGGTGGGTGTGAGGGGGGGCTCTGTGCTCCTGAATCCACTTATGTCAGTATAATATCTTCACTGATGTACGACCAGTTTCTAAAACAGAACTCTGATATTACACCTGTGAGGAAAACCAGAGTGGAAAGCGGTTTTCTGCTGCAGCACGGACACAATAACTCGATCACGATAACCGACTCAGACACTCCCAAAAAAAAAAAAAAGCTATGTAAAATTTAGCATTCAGCAAGATCCTCATGCACTCCGCTTCCTGCCTGAATGAGCAGATGGGGGAGAACACGTGGAGGGGCAGTATTGACCTTACTTCACTGAGATCCGGACACATCCCAGGCAGCTAATGCGTTCTAGCAGTTTCCCCACGCACCACATGTCAGTGGCGGATAGACGAGCCGAGTTCAAGGTGCCCTCTTTGATTTGAAGACGCAATCAGAGCCAAGTTTTTCCGATAAAAAGCTGCAGTGTTTGCAACGTAAAGTATTCAGTGTGTTTCCCACTTTACTCAGAGCTCATGAAGAGAAAGGCCCCTCTCACCTGTCCTCTTCAGTATAATTGACAAATCATTGTCCATGTGACATATCCACGCAACTGACACCTCTTTTCAAAATGTGTGCGTGAAACATTATTTATACTGCAGCTGTCAGACTCTTCAACATAATAATTTTAAATAAATATAGCTCGCTGCTTGTGCTAGTTTTTGCAAAACACGATCATTTC